CAAACGTTAAGGACTATTAGTGTCACAAAAAAACCTCAAGGACTATTCGTGATAATTTCGTAAACGTGAAGGACCATTTGTGATAAAAAGCCTATAAAAAAAAAAATGGAAATAAATAAACTAAATGGGTAATATTTGGGAAAATAAGGCCCTGCTTGGCCCAAATTGGTGGGCTGGGGCTCGGTGTCTAGGGCCTGAGGGTAAGTCTCTGTTCTTGAAATATTCTTGTGATCTAATGTTCAAGATCAAGACACGTTTGATCTGTATATCAAGCGTCTGAGTTTTATTCACAACCTTTGGGAATTTGGAGGAGAACTAGTCTTCTAGAGAAAAATACTGTACTGTTTCAGCGTTTGAATGGCATTCCTAGAAGGAAACTCTGCTTACAAATGACAGACTTCCAAAAGTACAACCAATGTATACATGACAACAGAGAAAAAGATGCAAATCTCGGCGAGGTCGAAGCAGCTTGAGACACTAAAAGTATCTGCAACTTGATAATTTCTTTTGACAATTGGACTTTATGGTCACCTTAATCACAATTTACAAGTGCAGGTTGAGATGTAGCAGGACAGAGGAGCTAGGTGTTGCTGGTTCCATCAATATCCTGCAAAGACAGAAAGCACTTAAATTATCATAATTGAATTACCATAGCAATCTGATATTACTTCAATAGGAGCAAATGTGACTGAAATTAAGGGAAAAATTCCAGATGATAAAACTGAGACTCTCATCACTCCTCCACAAGGACAAAGCTTGCTTCTATGCAGTGTCAAATCCTTTTTAAACTTTTTTTTCCCCTTTGTATCAAATGAAAAACCCAACAAAACAGCTTAAACTCTCAAAGAATACAGCAGTCTCGTGAGGATTACCTGACTGTAGAAACTTCTTGTCCGGAAGAACAAAGCCAAGGCAGTGAGAGACCCCAAAAGGGTAGCACATGCCATGATAAGGAATGATAACCTAAAGCAGTGAGTTCCGGTGCATGTATTCCATGCCGTCGACGCTTCTTTGTCATAAATATGCCCGATCACTCTCACGGAAAAGATATAAGATCCCACAGGAGCGGCTATGGTAATGGCAATGAATATGGTTCCCATATGTAGCACACCAAATATCTCAGAAGTGATTGTGGGCATTAGCGACCACTGAGAACCATAAAAAACACCCACCAGTAGGGATCCAGTATAAAGAGCACAAGGCATACCAGAAGCAATCACCACATGACCGATGCTCATGCCTGCTAGAGTGATTACCATGAATAATGGCCTTGCCCATCCTCTCAAATGCAGGAAATGATCTGATACATACCCGGCTCCAAAACGACCAAGGAAATTCCAGATACTCCACAAAGAAATCAAAGTACTTTTCTCAAAGGTTCTGTAGCCCAGTGATCCTCCTATCTGGTTGAGGTTATTGATGGTGGCAAGTCCTGAGCCCATTCCACATACCATGGCAATAAACAAAATCCAGAAGTCCAAAGTGCACATGGCTTGGACTAGATTAAAATTTTCTCTGGATTGCAAAGTCCTATCATTACTATCCAGCTCTTGATCAGTATTATTGCTAGGCAAATGGCGATACCCAGAAGGATCTTGTATATGGCTCTTTTCAGTATCTCGCCAGTTGGACTCACCATCTATTAACTGGTCACCCTCAGCTAATAACGTCTGTGAAACCCTATTAGACTCCCTTTTATGTGCTCTAATTGCAATGCAAAGAGGTGAGGCAAGCAGCAGTATAAGCGCAACAAAAGCAACGACACGTATGGCTAAGCACAACGTAAGGAGGTTCTCTAATATTATAAATCCCATAAGGTAAGCAGCAACAATGAGAGCAATCAACGACAAACTATTTAGGTGCTTCTTCTCGTTTCCTTCGTACTTCTTGTGGATCCTCACAAACCACATAAGCAACAAAGTATTTATGGTAGGTAGCAGTGCCAGCATCAGGAGAAATGAAGCAGGTTTCTTGTATAAAAATGTCCAATATATTTGAATTAATATTGCTCCACTCAGACCAAGAAATCCCTAACACGGAAAAGATAAACTTCTCATCCGCATCAAATCCAAGTATTTAGATCAGAAAGAACTCAAGCTCGGACATTAGCCATTACACATGAGCCATGGCACTGACAACCACTTCATTGAGCATCCTTCTAGCATAGTAACCAGTTTCAATGGATATAAGAATTGTCCGGAAGGTCAGGTGAAAATTACTGCTTACCATGTCATAAAAGAAAGAGGGGATGGAAAAAAAAAAACAAAAACAAGGCCCTGCTAACTTATGTTGCTTGTTAGTACAAGAAAAACAACATAAAGTAAGATTATATATATATTCATAGAAGAAAAACAATATAAAGTAAGATTATTTTCTAACAAACAAAAAAAACTAAAGGCAGCTCTCCCAGATTTGAGCACAACCAATAATCCCATCCTACAAGCCAAAAGTTTCTTCTAGAACATCAACCCAATTACCCAAATACCTCCATAATCTAATTTTCTCAGTAAAGTAACATAATTGGCCAAAACAACAAATGGGTTAAATCGAACCAATTCACTTCATTAACAGAATAAACCTTCACTGAGAAAAGCAGATATTTTCCAAGGAAACAAACAGAGTTGCCCAAAAAAAAAACATGAAATTGCAAGTACCTTCATGATGCCAACAATGGTCCCTTTATAATATGGGAAGTTCCTGACACCAGTGACCGCATTGGAAGTGTTAAAGAAAGACATAGCATGAGCCG